TATGCTCTCTTTAGTGTTCTCCTGGAGGGAGGTTTTGGTTTGTCTGTTCTTTTTACTTAGCATTACTGGTTGACTCAGTAAGAACTGAGTGAATCAATAATCAAGTGATTCAGATAAAGAGGATTATCAGGGCTTCATGTTTTGGAATCAGTTTCTGGATGTTTGAGCTAGAAATCAAAAAGAAGATAAAGCAAAAAGAAATACTGCATTTGGGGCAAAAATTCAGTTGAATGACTGGTTTGGTATGAGAGGAGTCATGACAGTGAGAGAGAAAAGAGGGAAAGTGGATTCATAAATTCTTCTATTCGATTAAGAAAAAGAAGTGAGGAGACGGACACGTCAATGAGCTTGACCACAGTAACTAACCACTTCGCTGCATAAGTGTACTTTGAAACATCCTGTTGTGCACACTAAATCTGTACAACTTCATGAAAAACAAAATAAAAATGGAAAGGATGAGCACAGAGTAAATGAGTGTCACAGGACATGAGAACATCCAGTGACGATCTTTGTAAAACACCCATGAGCTCCTCTCCACCAGCCCTTCCTGGAGGCGCTCGCTATCCTGGTGTCACGTTGCTCAGGGCTGGTTTGTCTGATGGGACAAACTATTCTGCATATACAACAACCAGATTTTAGATTAGAATAACACTCATTTTTGCTACAAAGAACCAAGGGTCATTGGAAAGCAGCACACTCCACATTTCAAGCAAGAGCCTTCAAGATGTGCCTAAGACAGCTTGTTAACACAGCAAGAAGTCCAGGGCTGGGGGCAGTATTAAAAGGAGAAGGCCAGTCTGAAGGCCAGGGCTTCTTGTGACCAAGTCCTACCAAAAGTGCACATGACTGGAGCCATTGCAGATTGTTAGACCCTGTTACTCTGAAAGGCCCTCAATCTCTAAAAAGCAGCTCAAACGGGAAGAACACAAAATAACATGTGTGTCGTATAAAAGATGTGTCTATCAGTCAGTGGACTGATGCCCTCTACCTCACAGAGATCAAACAGATGGAAATCGCTTATTTTGTTTAAAAAAGAGAGACATAGATCTATTTAATGCAATGCCTTCTTCCTGGGAGGTAGTTCTACAGCTCTTGGGACAATACTGAGAGGTGCTGTGGTACAGATAGCTGTGCACAATGTACATGCTGTTATTCAGAACTCAGCACCCCACCCCCAGATGAGGGGAGCGTGGAGCCTCACAGCTGACTGCAGGGGACTGCTGGGCTCAAGATCACATCCCTTTCTGATGGCAGCCCCATCTAGCATCATGGAAGGCTCCACCTCTTCCTTTAATAAGAATGCTTCTGAGGGACACTCCCATCACCAGAGAGCCCTGTGGGATCCCCAGAAGCCTCTGCTGGGACTGTCTCATAATTCACCTGCCTCATCTTGCCTCTTTCACTTCCTCACAGTTGTCCAAGTGTTGATCCCAGGAGCACACCCACTCACTTCTCAGCCCTCAGCCTTCCATCTCAGAGCCTGTTTCCCTGACAACAAGCTTGCCACATGTATGTGTATATGTACACACACACACACACACACACACACACACACATGCATTCTACTTGAAATGTAAGAAGTGTTTTAGAAAAGCCAAAGTGACAAGCCCTGCTGGGTTGATAGAGCAAAAATATTGCAATCGGTTGGAAAATAGATGGCATGTTTGAAGCCTATTCCTGCCAAGGATGTTACACCTGAGTGACGTACATTTGACTTACGCTGTGCTCCAGTAAGTATTCTAGAATGTGCTGATTTACTTTGCACCAGTTAATTGTGCCTGGGGAGCAGACAGACTGGTGATGAGAGCTTCTAGAACACACCAGCTGGTGGCAGGGAGGGGCTGTGGAGATCCTTGTGAGAATGGCCAAAAGGAATTTGCTTTCTCACCCCAATTTTCCAGTTTCACTATCAGCTCTGCTAGGATCTGGGAAAACTGCATTCTTCTCTGGAAATGCACTGGGTTGTCTCCAGCTTGATTTAACCATTTCAATCCTATATCATTAAAGGACCTTTATATCCTCAAAACTGTCTGTGGCTATCTTTTTGCCAAGTACAGGACCATTCTGTCATGACTGGTGTGCCGCAAACATTCTTATGTCTGACCCTACTAGAAATTCGGGGTTATCCTGATTTCCTCCCTCTGCTTATTTTCCATACATTCCAGCATCAAAACTTGTTGATCCTACCTCCTGTATCTCTAATTGGTTCCCTTTTCTTCATTCCTTCTTCCCCAGATAAAGTACAAATTATCTCTTCCCTAGATGACTATAAGGATTTTTATTGTCACTTTGTTTCCAGTCTTGATTTGAAATTCCATCTCTAACATCTATTAAATTCTCTAAAGTTGTTTGTTCTCTTCTCATCCTTTCTCTTCTTCCTTGTACAGACTTTCCCTGGGAAATCTCATCTGCTTCAGTGGCTTTGACGACTGTTAACATGCGCCAGATATGTGTAAGGTGCTATGATGCCCATCTGAGAATTTTCTCTGTGAGGTCTAGACCTCTATCTCCAGCTGCCAATTCGTTAAACTCAACTTGTGAAAACATGATTTGACCACTTTCCCCCTCCAACCAACCCTTCCTTCTCTATTCCCCATCTCAATGAATGATAACACCTTCTTTCTACCCAGCTGTCCAAGTCATAATCCCAGTGGGGTCTTTGATTTGTACATTTCCCTAATTCCTCAAGTCAAATCAATCATCCCTAAAGAAATTCCTAAACATCTTTTGGCCTTGTATGTTATCACCATCCCTATGATCACTACCCTGGGCACAGCCCAAGCCCTTAGCTAGAATTTTCCCTACAACCTGGATTTCTGCATCAGCCTCTTAGCTTCTTTTTTGGTCCTTTTGTTGTCTCCCTGCAATACATCTTTCATAGGGCAGGGAACACAAACTTTCTAATCTGCAAATCTGCATTCCTCTGCCTGAAATCCTTCAATGCCTTCTCATTGTTCTTATAATAAATGCCCATGGCTTATAAAAACCCATTGTAGTGTGGTTCCTGCTTCCCTCTCAAACAATCTTTCTCTCCACATACTCCCACTCTCACTCACAACATTCTGGTCATTAGAATTCCTTGGTTCCTTAAGTGGACAAAGCTTTCTCTTACTTCTTAGCTATCTTGCACCATATTTCCGATCCCTAAAGACTCCTTCCCTCACATCTTGCCTCACCCTTTACCTTACTACTTATTCTTCAGTATTTAGGTATTAATTTGACTTCCTCTTCCTCCCAGAAGCTTTCACTGAACACCAAGTTCAGATTAAATGTTTCTCTTCTTTGCTTCCTTGATGCCATATCCTTACCTCTATGGTACTTCTTATCAAAATCTGATGCAATTGCTTTTTTTTATGGTTAACTCTCTGAAGCCAAGAACCAAATCTGGCTTATTTATTCTTATGTCCCCAAATTTAGCACAGTGCCTGGCACAAAATACATGCTCAAAACAAATCTGACTTAACTCTTCTGAAAGTGTCTACTTTGCACCCTTGTTTACTAGGTAGACTCCTGCTCACATTCAAGCCCCAGCATCATGCCTTTCTGACTTCCCGAATGAATCACAGTTCACAGATCCCTGTTTCTTATATCAACTTCCTCCCCATCATCACTTTTTCTCATTCATTTTGCTCATGAGTCTGTTTTTACATACCCAGCTTCAGATTTTCTGATGAAGGACCTATTGTATCTTCTTTATTAGCACCAATTACTTGGTGTAGAGCATGTGCTCAAATACCAGCTAAGGGGAGGAGAGAGTGAAATGATAAAACCAGACCTGATTTCCTTCTGAAGGCTATACACTTGAACTAAGCTAATTCTAAAATAAGTGTTCTACATGATTTGTTTATGTTATCCAAGGGTTTATCTTACTCCAGGTACTAGTCACTAAGTTACATTTTTCAAGGTTCTCTCATTACATGGAAGTTCATGCCTCACCTATGTTCTTTGCTTAGGTATGTTCAAGGCTCCATCATGTGGATATTCCATACCCATAATCATATATTCCAAGGCAATTTTTTAGGAAAAAGAGATTCATGGCATCATAAATCATTTGAACCAATTTTGGAAAACATGTTAATAGAACACAGGCTCTTCCTAGATCTCTGAATGTTTTCCAGGTTGTCCTGTTAGCTCTGTGTGAAAAGGGGATTATGTAGACTTTTATAGGTTAACTACTGAAAGTATCTAAATCAGTGGTTCTAAACTGAGGGTGATTTTGCACTCCATGAGACATTTGGCAATGTCTGGAGGCATTTTGATTGTCACACGTAAGTGGGAGAGTGTTAATTGCATCTAGTGGGTGGAGGTTAGGGATGCTATTGAAAGTCCTACAATGCACAGAGCAGCCTCCCACTTCAATTAGCTAGCCTACAATGTGAACAGTACCAAAGTTGAGAAACTCAGGACTAGATGAAATTATAATCTCACATTTCATTCAAGCATACTTTTCTATTCCAGGATAGAATATACAGGGGGAGGGAATAGAGTGGTAGAGTGCATGCCTAGCATTCAGGAGGTCTTGGGTTTAATCCCTAGTACCTCCATTAAAAAAAAAAGACAGAGAGAATTACCTTCCTCCAAAAAACAAACAAACAAACAAACTAACAGAATGAAACATAAATAATACTCAACCTACAACTAGAAGCCCAGAATACAGTCCCACTCCAGTGCCCTCACACTTGTATTTTGACTTTTCATCTTTAAAATGGTATTTAAAATATATCTCATGAGGTTATTATAAAAGTTAAATATGATAATATATGAGAAAATCTTTCGTTCAACATGGCAAGTAGCAGTTGCTCAATAAATATTTGTAATAAAAAAATCCATGAATACACAGGGGATGATTAGGGTGTCCAGGGGTGCAGAGTAATAGGATTTACCCTGAATAGTTCCTGAGTGTGTCACTCTTTTTAGGACCTGAACATGCATCACCACAGTGAGAACACTTCAGAGAACAATAGGCATTGACAGAGATCCAAGAAGATGCTTATACATACCTTTTGTTCTTCTCGCTCTACAGCTGCATTGCATTTTTCTATTCCCCTGTTTCTCAAAAAATCTCTGAGATAGCCAAACAGCGTCCCAATTCCATATCCCATATAAGTTAAAATCACAGCATAAAGAGGTGCTTCCTCAAAGGATTCAACAATTGGCTTATAGAAATTGGAATTTCCATTTTGCTGCAAAGACAAAAGAAAACTGAAGGTTAGCACTCTCCCATTACAATAAACTCTGATACTTGAAATTTTGGACTTTCAACCTTTTACATTTCAAAGAACATATTTAAGATTGTTAAAGCTCCCTGAAGAAAAGTAGAAACTGATCATTGAAGAGGCTAATCAAAGATGTCATTTTATTTTACAATTCCTGTTGAAATAATTGATTCAGGCAAAAGTGATTAACAGGCTCTGAATCCATTAAGTAAAAAGTTAATGAGGAATAGGGCTTTCGCAAGATGCCAAACTATCACCCTACAGGTTACTGCCCAATCACAAACCTTGTTTTACATCCTTAACCAGGTGGTCAAATTACAACACAGATGTTAGAGCAACTCACCACTCTGTGGTCTTATCATGATCTAATATTCAATACGCTGATGAAATATTTCACCTGAATTTAGTCAAGTTCTAATATGTAACTTTCATTTCAAAAGAAATATCAGATAAATTAATTCCTGAAGAATCAATCAGATAATGCATGACGTGGGACTTTCTATATGACAACTGGTCTGTTCTTTAAAGGCAAAACAAACAAATGGGACTACGTCAAACTAAAAAGCTTTTTCATAGCAGAGCAAATGATCAACATATGGGGGAAAAACAATGAGAATGCATGGGACTTGCTGAGTTGGAGTGGTGATTGCTCCCGTAAGTGTACATGTTTTCTGGGCAGTTAGAGATGCAGGAGGTAAGAGAGGCCTGACTAAAGGAGAAGATCTCGGCCTCAATGAATCTGAGGCCCAGTATGCACCACATTTGAAGGTGAATGTGATAAAGGACAAGATAAAAAGAATTGCAGGAAGCTTAGGACTGAATTTCAGGACTCACTGCTTCTAAGGGCACCATAGACGAAGGGTGAGTGAAGGGCGCCCAGTGTGGGTGACTTCAGAACTCTGACTTAGCGGCTCACAAATTAACTCCTCTGGCTATCTTAGAGGATGGCAAAGTCACATCAGCACATATAACAGAGAAACTTCCAGGATATTCAAGGCCATCCTGGGAGTCTCAAGGTGTTTTCCCTTTTTCCTAACCTGGCCCTGTATCTATTTCTGAGCTCCATATGTTACCAAATCAAGCAGAGCATTTCCCCTGAAATCCATGGGAACTTTCTGCTTACATTGGCTCTGAGACAAACCTGCACTGTATGTAACAGACTGTCTACAGAAGCAAATAAAACCCTTAGTTGGGTGCACAGTCCGGGCCTGTGTGATTTTTTCTTTTCTTTTCCTTTTTTTTTGGCCCCTGTGACCTTGCTCTGGAAAATAGTTATATAACAAAGGAGATGTTTCCAACAATGTCCATCAGCCCAAACCAAAATTGACTTTACCCTCTCTCCTATAACTTTACATATTTTTAATTTAATGTAATGTAATTTTATTTATCAGAGAGAAAATGACATATCTTCTTGGAGGCAGACAGGTCAGGGAACAGACAGGCCAGGAAGGTTTTGCTAAAACCACAGTCATCCCAGCACATGGGCCAAGGCTGTACCTCTGAGGGGCAGTGTCAGAGGATTCACATTGGGAGGTAAAGACACTTTATGAAAATAGCCGAGCCAAGCTACAACAAAAATTCCCAGGGGAGGGGTGGAGGAAGGGATTAGTATCCAGAGTTGCTACAATATATAATGTAAAATGTCCAATCTTCAACTGAAACTATGAGCCATACAAGAAGCAGGAAAATGTGACCTATAAAAGAGAAAAACATCAGGCAACTGAAACTGCCTATGAGACGAATGAAGATGTTGTGCTTTACAAAGACTTCAAAGCAGATGTTATAGATTCAAGGAACCAAAGGAAACCAAGCTATAAGAAGTGAAAGAAAACATGATAACAATGTCTCATCAAGAAGAAAATATCAGTAAAGAGAAGAAATTATAAAAAAGAAGAAAAATGGAATTTCTGGAATTAAAAAATGTAATAATAAACAAAAATTACTAGTGGTGTTCAACAGTAGAATTATATTCAAAGATGAAAGAAGCACTAAATTTGAAGACACATAAATAGTGTTTATACAATCCCTCTCCTTCAAAATGAGAAAAAAATGAAGAAAAATGAATAGGATCTGAGAAAAATTTGGGATATCATTGAGTACACCAACATACACAAGTCTTTTTTTATATATAAACTTTATTAATTTTTTAGGTTTTTTTCCTTTGGGAAGAGGTAATTAGGTATTTTTAATTTGTTTACTTTTAGTGGAGGTACTGGAGATTGAACCCAGGACGTTGTGCATGCTAAGCATGCACTCTACCACCTGAGCTATACACTCCCCACAACATACACATGCCTTAATACAAGTGTCATCAAAGATGTGAAGAAATTGTGATCCTCACACATAACCGTTTTTCTAAAGGTTAAACATAGAGTTGCCATGTAACCCAGAAATTCTCTTTAGGCGTACCCAAAAGAAATGCAAAAACGTGTCCACACAAAAACTTTTACTCAGAAATTGACACATTGTAACTGATTATACCTCAATTAAAAACAAAAAACTTGTACTCAAATATTCATAGTAGTTTTATTCAAAACAGGTAATGTGGAAACAACCCTGATGTCCATTAACTGATGAATGTATAAATAAGTGTAGGACAATCACACAATGGATTATTGTTTGACAATAAATACAGAGAATATACTGACAAATGCTCCAACATAAATGACCCATGAAAAAATTATGCTAAATGAAAGAAGCTATTCACAAAAGACCACATCTTGTATGATTCAATTTAGATGAAATATCCAGAATAGGCAAATCCACAGAGAGAGAGGCAAATTAGCGGTTGATTCAGTGTGAGGGGTGGAGTTTGGGAGGAAATGGCTAGTGACTGCTACTGAGTACAAGTGTTTTGGGGGGATGATGAAAACTGACTGTAGTGATGGCTGCATAACTCTGTGATTAAACTAAAAGCTGCTGAATTATACACTTTTAATGGGTGAATTGTAGAGTGTGTAAGTTGTATCTCAATAAAGTGTATGTGTGTATATATATATGTGTGTATATATATATATACATATATATATACACATACACACACACACACACACACATCTAGTCTATGGAAGGCTGCTGCTTCTGCATCTGGTTGTTGAACTGGAGTTTTTGTAGGTCAGTAGCAGGGCCAGCAATTGGGAAGAATTGGGCCTAAAACATAGGAAAGTGAAGACAAGTGGGGACCCACTAGGACAAACTGGATTTCAAAAAACAAAACAAAACAAACAAAACAAAGCGTAAATACAAAACAGAAATAGACTCATAGTCATAGAATACAAACTTGTGGTTGCCAAGGGGGTAGAGGGTGGAAAGGGATAGATGGGATTTCAAAATTGTAGAATAGATAAAAAAAATTATACTCTATAGCACAGGGAAATATACACAAAATCTTATGGTAGCTCACAGAGAGAAAAAAATGTGACAATGAATATATATATGTTCATGTATAACTGAAAAAATTGTGCTGAACACTGGAATTTGACATAACATTGTAAAATGATTATAAATCAATAAAAAATGTTTAAAAAAAAGTGGACAAACCAGAATCTATGTCAGTCTGGCACTTTATTCAGCTTTGATGATGAATATGTCCTTCACAAAGTATTGGAGCCCTTTTCCATGAATATGCATACTCACCAGTCTCAGAACTCAGAGAAGCTGAAGGAACCTAGCAGGACCTGGAGAAGCCACAAGCCCAGTCACTCCCCTTGCCAACAAAAGGAGCCCATAGATTAGCAACGAGGTTTACATGTTGCAACTGTATCTCATGCCTTTCAGTGGCCTTTATATTATAATGAGTTCTCCCCCTTTCCAATATCATACAATTTATCTTGGGTTCAACCCCAACCAGGAAATTTTTAGAGATGAGGTTCCAGTTTGACTAAATTGACACAGTGCAAAGCCTGCTCAAATGTTTTGGCAAAAATGATGTTTTCTATGTTTCCCAGCTTTCTCTGCAATTATGGAAGGCCATATGACTCGTTCTGGCTAGTGGACTATGAGTAGAAATGGCTTGTATCACTTCTGGGTTGAGGCAATCAAGAGCTCGTGTGCCTTCTCCATCCATCACTTCCTCTACCATGGGAAACTTGTAGGTCACTGGATCCAGGTGGTGAAGCTACAAAATGGGGGGGGGCCTGATCTCAATAAGTTTTCCATATGTGATTAATAAAACTCACTGTGTTGATCTAGTGAAATGTATGACTTTTCTATTTCAGCAATTAGTATTATTCACCCTGATTAATCCACCTATCTCTACATATAAAATATAAAGATGCTTTCAAGGATAAAGACCATCTGAGTGTCCAAGGTTGATTTCATTTCTGATAACCCCATGTGAGTACTATTGTAGGGGATGGACTTTTAGAGATAGTAAGAAGTCCATTCTTCACTCTGGGTTAGATACGAGCACTTCTCCCTCAGCATCCTGAACCAGCCCTCTGGTCCAGTTGCCATTACTCCAGAAGAAATGAAACATGGGGTTGGAATATAATTTCAGGTTTCATGAGCTTAAACACTGAAACTTGAGTACAAGTGTGTGCAAGGACTATAAACTTTCCTTTCAAATCTCATCTAGTGGGGTTTGTTATACAGACCCTGTTGGTTGCCTACCTTACAAACACACGCTCCTTATTTATTACTGGAAGAGCCTTAGTAACCCTGACCCTGCTTCAGAAGGTAAAGCATGATTAGTCCAAGCTAGCCATAGTGGTTCTTGCCAGTGACTGGTTTAGACATGTGGAACAGTGCTAGCCAATGGAAACTGAGAGAAAGTCCTTTGGGTGAATTCTGAGATAGGCTTTACTTAAGAAAAAAACTGGATGCAAAAAAAATGCTCTGTTCTTCTCTAGACTTACATTGTTGTGTCTGCTTGGGACATTTGGAATTGAAGCAACTATTTTTGGCCACAAAGGGAAGATATTTATTTATGCACAAAAGATGGTAGAAAAAAGAGGTGGAAAGCCCTG